AGAAGAATACTTGTAGAGCAGGAACATTTCTTCTTATCCTGTGGCGCGGATATGCATTTAACCTCGCCGTCCTGCAAGTTTATTATAGAACTGTAAGAAGAGACCTCCATCTAGACTGCCCACACCAAGGAAACATAATAAATATGTTGAACTGAGTCCTACATCAGCTAGTGAACCACAGATGCCTGCTATCGCGTAGATGTCGAAATTGCTATTCAAAAGACAAGGCAAGCTATCTTGGACAAACGGATCTTCACAGATTCTTGCACATTGTGTATTGGCTGACGCTGTTTTTCGCTACAAAATTGCATCCAGTCATTTTGTCATTGTCTGCTACCGCGAGCGAGGCGAAGATGATAGCAGAGCCAGGCGAGCTTCCCACACACTGGTGTACGATGTAGTTCGTTAGTGGGGTTGTTACTACTCGGCGATCTATGCTGAGACGCTGGTAGTGTGCGCATGCGGTTAAGTACACGGATAACGGGAGACGCAAGACCAACATATAGACTCAACTAATGATCGTAACGTACCACACTGAGCGTTTATTGTTGCACATGATGCAAGTCGATAACAAGCACGGGTTCACGGATATAAGCTATCGGAGAGAACTAAGAGTGGTCGAAGGAACAGTCAGGTTCTCCCGAGCTTGTGCTTGGAGTCTCCCGCTTTAAGCCGCGTCCGTAAAAATTCTGGTCAGCGCAATAAAACCCGCGCCTTGCGTGACACGTTCTCTACGACGCGAGTTTCTCACGGCGCGACCTCGGCGAGCAGGTGGTTCCATCACCATCGGCCTCGCCCTTTGTCGCACCTAGGTGACTACCATCGGGATTCATTCCGGCGACGGGCGACTCGGGGTCGCGGTGTTAAATTTAGTGGACAACGCGTGTGAAAGGCGGAGTATAGCTGATGATCTGCTTATTACTTACATGTGAGAGTGGAACGTCGATACATAACAACCCGTACGTCCATGGCAACGAGTGAATGCCACAGCTCTATTGACACTAATATCTACAGTGAGACTAAAGTACACAGAGTAGAGTGACTACTAGTAGTCAGACTAAATGACACTCACGGAGATGTCACCAGAGCCTCTTTAGAACTACGTCTCTAGTCACAGCTCCACTCAAAGGCAACATTTATAATATCGTTACACTGAGACGCCACGACTGCGGTGACACGTCGAGGTGCTTAAGAGATGCTCCAGCTAGATTCTATCTGTATGGCGACTACTTCAAAAGAATACTGACAAAAGAATACGGACTCTACTGAGGAGCTATGTTTATTATTGTTATGTCTTAACGATTGTCTAAGCCTTGATGATGAGCTATGTCCTAAATAGTCTATAAACTCATTATAACGCTTTTACTCGCGATTAAAGATTGTTCATATATTATATAAAATGTAATCTTTCATAAGAAATCCAGAGACCGTTTACTACTCCAATAATATGTTAGCATTAAATCGCAAACAAAATTTTTGGAATCGGAATTGTGAGTTCCAAGAAATCAGTCTTGAAACATCAGCTACTGCGTCATTGCTAACAACGGAGATATTCGCGTGTTTTTGTACATTCTACGATGATTGAACGACTGTGTTTAGGATTGACCAAGGTATGCACAATTGCTACTGTTAGTACTCACTGCGACCTATCTGTGGCCGATTGCCATCAATAAACTTTAAAAAAGTCGTGTTGTTATAAATAACTTGACAAAATAATTGATCTGTTTCAATCTCCTGTTTGCCACCCAGTAATTAATGCACGCAGTGACGTTATCATCTCTATGTAAACAACTAAACACGTGAGATACTCCGGGACGCATCCATGAGTTATAGGAGAAAAGGATCAGGTGAACGTAGTGCGAATAAGGCTATTAATAGCAAAAATACAACAGATTTTTTTCAGGGGAAATATGGTCGGACTCTCGGATTAATGCTGACCATCTTTTTTTTTATTTGGAAGTATAATAATTTAATTGTGATTTTCAAAGGATTATTGCAACCCACCGCGCGAGCTTTTATGATGGAAAATAAGTTGAATATAAGGTGCGAGTAATCGCATGAATTAACGATTTTTGATTAGGGGAAATCTTAAACATGATATCTCTGGGCAATTGTCACTTGTGGATGATTTTCTTGCAGCAAATATCAGATGCCGTTGGTTTTTGTTTTCTGGCATTATAAGTAGGCATTTCCATTTGGCCACATCTCATAGACTACGTTCTACGAGAGCTCTTATAGCAACGGGTACTTCTTATTCCTGGTACTATAACGATTCCCCGTCTATAGCAGCAGATTTTTTTGGAGGCTTTGAGAAGAGACCCCCGTCAGACTGCAGGAGCAGCTAGCTGGGTGTTCTAAGGAATAAGGCCACGATGATTGCGCGAGCTTCCACCGACGAGGGCGACACCTATAGATTTTCCTGCGGTGTAGCATTACTTATTACTTATATTAGGATTAGTTATATCTACTTGTCTTTCAAACATTGTTGTGCACGGTTAGAAATATCTAGAACAAATAATAACATTAAATTATGGATCTAGATGCGTATGGCATGTGCAGAGAGATAAGCCGACACAGCTATCTTCGTCGACCGATGGGAATTTCCGAAATTGTTCAATATTAAAGGTGTCATTGTAACGACGAAGATGACGTTACCCGCCAAAGTGTAGATTCGTTGTTGCGATGAATAATGAAACTCCAAACTCCAAGCAGTTGTGTTCAGCAAATAGTATATTGTTTCTCAACCCACATGCGCTCGCACACAGGCACGCAACCGCGTGCCTCGCACACTCACGTCCCACCCTCACTCACAACCAAGAACCTTCTCCTTTATACATTTCTAGATAACAAAGAATGTCGCGCGCGCCCGGACAACAACACCCGCTGCCCACATGTACAACAACAATCACGGTACATACCGTTAGTTTGTTTTCCCATTTGACGTTGCAAATAGGAAATGGGTTTCTGACCTATTTCCTATTTTTAAAACGGAAATAGAAAATAGGAAATGGGTTTCTGATCCGTTTCCTATTTTAAAAGTCTAAATAGGAAATGGGAAATGGGTTTTTTTCCTTTTCCCATTTCCTATTTAGACTTTTAAAATAGGAAACGGATCAGGAAAGGGGGTACGTGCGTGTACCCGCGTGTACGTGCGTGTACCCGCGTGTACGTGCGTGTACCCATTTGCACCCGCGTGTACGTGCGTGTACGTGCGTGTATCTGCGTGTACGTGCGTGTACCCGTGTGCACGTGCGTGTACCCGCGTGTACGTGCGTGTACCTACGTGTGCACGCGTGTGCACGCGTGTACCCGCCTGCACGTGCGTGTACCTGCGTGCACGTGGGTACACGCACGTACACGTGGGTACACTGAGATACACGCACGTACACGCGGGTACACGCACGTGCACGCACGTGCACGCGGGTACACGCACTTACACGCGGGTACACGCGGGTACACGCAGGTACACGCAGGTACACGCACGTACACGCAGATACACGCGGGTGCACGCACGTACACGCGGGTACACGCACGTGCACGCGGCTACACGCACGTACCTCCTTCCTTTTCCTTTTCCCATTTCCTATTTAGAATTTTAAAATAGAAAACGGCTCAGAAACCCATTTCCCATTTTCTATTTAGACTTTTAAAATAGGAAACGGTTCAGAAACCCATTCCCCATTTCCTATTTA